GCAAGAACAGGAGTGAAATGGTAAAATGGTAAATGGCCTGTATTTGTATAGCGCTTTACTTAGTCCCTAAGGACCCCAAAGCGCTTTACACTACATTCAGTCATCCACCCATTCACACACACATTCACACACTGGTGATGGAGGAAAATTTCCTGCTACCCATCAAAAGGCATGCCGCCGCATTCTGGACAGTCTGCAATCTAAGGAGAAGGGAGGAGGAAAGGCCAATGTAAAGAGAGTTGCAGTAGTCCAACCTGGAAGTCACAAATGTGTGAATAAGTTTTTCCAGGTCTTTATGCAGAATATAGCACTTAGCCTTAGAAATAAGGTGCAGCTGATGAAAACTAAACCTCACTACGGCAGATGCTTGTCAAATTTACAAGTAATATGCCCAAGTAATATGCCCAAGTTACTGGCATAATCAGAGTGCCAAGGTCCATAAGTGAAGGTAAAGGGAAAAGGGAGGGTAAAAAACATCGAGACAGATACAACCGATATTGTGCAGTTTGTTGTCAAAAAAAATAATTAAATAAATTGTGGGAATTGCACATGTGGAGGACAAAAGAAGGTCTACTGTAGGTAGATGGGATACACCAAGGTAAAAACACAATGCTGAAATTAATAAAGGAATGAAATGGAACAAAGGAAGTAAAATTAAATACAAGACCCATGTTGGAAAAGACTACCAAAATAAAACAGGAAGTAACTGACAGAGACTTAAAAAGACACAGAATGCTAGTCTAAAACAAGATTTAAATATTAGCAAAATATTGTGATAAAAAATAGATCAAAATATAAATGTAAAAACTCCTACAGAAAACCAGATTAAAAAGGTATCAAGCACGAAAAAGAAACGCACAGAAATTACAATAATAAGAAACCCGAAGGATATAAATTTAGAACAAAGAACAAAACTCATAAACTATAATCAAAAACTGGAACAATTAACTAAGACTCTAATTATTAAAGAATATACACAGAGAATCAATAATTAAGAGGCCTAAAGAACGATTCTAGAATACTACTTACAGAAACGGAAAGCTGATTAAAAGAGTTCAAACTAAACTAAAGAAGAAAGGTGGACATAGCAAATATTGACTGTGAAGCTCATTAGAATTGCACAAACTCTGTGTATTTTTTTTATACTTATATACTTGTATTCCCATGCATGTTTGCACATGTTTCAATACAATGATGTAACTCTTTTCAGTAGCATAACATGTATGACCATTTGTAACACTTTCTTTTGGCTCTTCCTTATGTCTTGAAGAGGCTGTGCCTTCTCCAGCGTGATAATGTAAATATGAATGTGTTTTTTAATGGCTTGCTGGTATATTATAGCTGACATTGCTTGCTGGACCATGTTGTTGTACAAAACCCTATTACATGAAAGTACAAGCCAGCCCTAGTTCAGCTTCGCTTGATGTGTCTTTTAACGCAATTACTCTCACCTTAAGTTATTTATTGGAAGGATTATTTTTAAACTATTATTAAAACATTAGAATTTATTTTTGTTAAATGTACATTTAAAGTGGACATAAAAGTTGACATTTTTCAGAGGATATATCAGAAACATAACACAGTAATTTAAAATAATGACGTCAGACAAATTAGCCAAACGACTGTGATTTCGACTCAGCTAAATACACATTTCATTAATTTTTTTAAAATTAATTTTAGAAAATAATAGGTATTCAGTATTATTGTTTATATATGACAACTTCATAAATCAAGAATTTATTAGATAAATAACAGGAATATTGTTTAATTTTCAATCATTTTTATTATTTATCCATCTATTGTGTGTTATATTAGAGTGGGTACTGTTGTGTGTACAATGCTTGTATCTGACAGTGTATGAAGAAAATGATTGAGGTCCAGTATAAGGCTATCTCGAATACTGAAACGTGCAAACTTATTCCAGTACAGTCCAAGAATAGAAATATGAACTTGGATATTTGCATAACTGATTTGTTTTTAAGTGCTTTATTCACACTAAACAGTGTTTAAAAGTTTCGGTATCTTTATTATTTATCTATTTATATTGTTATATGGTTGTGGGTGGCGTGGTGTGATGTCTAAAACTGCTTGCATCTGACAGTGAATGAAATAAGTAGCTGCTGCACCAAGGTCCAGTATAAGGTAAATAATAATTATCGTGAATTTTGAAACATGCAGACTTACTCTAGTCCAAGAATAAAAATAATATTTCAGATATTTGCATAACAGTATGCATAAAACACCCCTGTAGGAGCTTTGTGCAAACTAGATTTCAAACTAAATCTTATGTTAAACGCTTTTAAAGTCAACAGTTACTAAGCGTTATGTCTTTGACCTCCTCGCCATGTGTGTGTGTGTTTTTATATAGGATGTTTATTCTAGATGGGTTCATTGCGGGCCTTTGTGTTTTATTTTGAAAATCTCGAGCGGAAGCGTATCACTGCTACGGTAACTTCACGGACGTCTGAGGGGGGTAGGACATCCCTGACCGACCTGCACCGACTCCGCACCGCTCAGCGGCAGTAATGCAGCGTTTCCTTCCCCAGCCGCGGCGAAACACGGAGCAGAAGAAGGAGGCCGACGACAGGCTGTGAACACTGCGGTACATGCGACCGTACAGCCGCTCTCTTCAGCCTGTGCTCGTTTTTCTTCCACAGCGGCGACGACACGGAGGAAGACGAGGCATCTGCGTTTGGGGTTTGAAGTGGCGGACGAGATATAAACGTATCCTGAATTCACGGCTTCCCGTTGAGGCCATCAGTAAGTATCCGTTCTGTGTTATTTTGTGTCTGCGGTGGATGAAACATGCTAATGTGATTTGGGTTCCGGTTGTGTTTATATAATATTAGGCTGGTAATCCTCCGGAGCAGCGCAGACGTTAGGGCTCACCGGTCAGAATTACATGAATAATTAGCCAGGATATGCCCCTTTTAAATAAACACGTAAGCCTTTTAAATTCACCTTGCTGTTACTGCTGTTATCAGCTTTACCCTGTCAGTGTCTGTGAAGGTCTGCTCAGGAGACTGCATCATGCACAATTAACAGTGATATCGTACTACAAAGCCTGTGCCTGCTGCAGCACGCTGGGCTGTTACGTTATGCAGGTGTGATTTTAGAGTCGCTGCTGTCCACGAGAAAAACATGCAACACAATCCACTCACCGTGCACGGTGAAGCCGCCTCCTTTCAGGCTTGCTGTCTTGTAGAAGTCATTTATGTGTAAAAGTGTTATTACTGTATCAGAGGCGGACTGTAGTAAGGATTCAGGCCAAGAATTTGACTTCATCTCAGGCCACTCTGTTCACACTGCTTGTTTTTTTCACACTAAACCTCTACTGTGCTCAAAATAATGCACTTTATACAGTGCGTCTGTTACTGCAAGTGAATTACTTCTAATACGACTGAAGGGATGTGGAGAGAAAGTGTGTAATCATAAGTTATCAGCAGCAATAATTAATCATGCTATTGCTGTTATTAACCTGATATTAAAATGTATTTTTAAATTTCATGACCTGCGTTTACAAGTGCCAGTTTAGTAGCTTTTTGTTTGCCTGCTTTATGTTTATGTGGGAGGAGAGGACCCAGCTTCCAAAAACAAAATGCCTCAATCCTCAAACATGTAGTTATACAAGGTCAACGACACAGAACAGTGAGCCGTTTGACCTTAAAGGTAGCTCATATATGCAAATATCACCTTTAAAGTTCAGCAAAAGTGTACAAAAAATCTCCAAAACTGAAAAAAAGCTACAATAATGTAATTAAATTCATGTGAAAAAGAAGAAAACATGAAAAAGTTTCTGGGCATTTATTTATGGGACGCTCTCTAAAGATCCTGCCACAGCATTTCAATCAGGCTGAGGTCTGGGCTTTCTCAGACATAGATTTTCCTGATGTGCTCGGGATCGTTACAGTGTTTGATGACTCAGTTTTGGCAAAGCTTTATCTGTCGGATGTTTGACTCTAGAATACTTTGGTATACAGAGGAAGTTATGGTCGATTCAGTGACGGCGAGGTGCCCAAGTTCTGCGGCAGCAATGGCACAAATCATGACCCCTCCACCACCGTGCTTGGCGCTTGGTATGAGATGTGTGTTTATTACCAAACATGGTGCTGCGTATTATGGCCACACATCTCCACGTTGCTGTCATCTATCCAAAGGATGTGGTTTGTTCAGAAGCAACTTTGCAAACCTAAGCTGTCCTGCCATGCTTTTTTATAGAGATGAACTCTTTCTCCTGGCAGCACTTATAAATCAGTTGTACCTGTTTAGTCTTTTTCTAACTGTATTGTTATGAACTTTAACATTTAACATATTAACTGACGCCTGTAGAGTCTGAGATGTAGCTCTTGGGGTTTTTTTGTCAATCACTGCACCGTCTGACTTTGGGTTATATTTGCTGGGACGTCCTCTCTTAGAAAGATTGTGTCATTCTGATGACACACACCTGAACGCTCCACACCAGAAAACCACCAAAACATTTTCTTTAAAGCTCACGTTTTTGACTGACCCATCCCCTCACTGCACCTTAAGCAGCATTTTTCTCTTTTTTGTCTCTTGTCCACCTGTCTTTTTCATCTTAGTGTTCATTGAAGGCCACTTAATTAGTATTGACAGAGAGGCAGTTAGACTTGTGATGTGCTGAGAGAGACGGCATCAGTGCATCGTGCAGCCTGTATCTAGATAATACTGGACATACATTCTTACGGGACAGAGCAAGTGTGAGGCGCCTTTCAGATTCAGTTACTCTACAAAAGTCAAGCTGCCTTGTACAGTCAGGCCACTGGGCGCTCGTGAAGGCTCACAGTCGGCCACTGAATTGTATAATTCCAAACAAAACTTGGTAACATGTTTCCAAAAATTGTGCATCTCGTTTTCACAAGTGAAAGAAGCCTTAGACGTCTTCACATGACATTGAGATTATGCCAGTAATACAGAGCCGTCTCAGTGTCTTTTTCAGGTATGAATTGTTAGAAATTTCTTGTGCTGAAATTCTCTTTGCACTTTGAGCTGCGCTATTTACGTGGCTTCACTGTTTAAAGTTGATTAGAGCCAGATGGATAATTAAAACATTGCTGATTTTTAGGAGTTTTAGGATTGCACTTATCTTGTACCACCAGTATAAACCTTTAGTTTCCATCAACATCACTTTGCTGTTTGAAAAAAGGTTTGGTCTGCAGCCCTGTGAGTTTGGCCCGAAGGCACATTTTTCATGCAAACTTTAAGTGGACTCTGTTATAACTGTCAACAAAGTGCCAGCAAAGGCAGTAAGAGGCTATTCTGACATGTGGCGATACACGAGTACCCCCGAACGGTTGTTTGCGCGCGTGCTTGTTTTCATACCGTCACCATGGCAATCAAAGACCGTCTGAGTATGTGTATGGTTTGCGGTCATGTTCATTCATATAAAGCAAACATGTTTTCCATTCCTAAAGGTATAGTAGTGGTGATTTGTGAGATCTGGCTTAAATGACTCACAATTTCCTTTTTACCAGTGCAGCACAAGTGGGATTATTTCACAGCACAGCAATGCAGGAGAAGCATGCTGCTGACAAACACTCGTTTTCATTTAAATGAATTACATGGCATCTGTTTGCAGCTCTGTGAGACAAGCCACTTTGCTGATTTGCTGAGTTAAAGTGAGTAAGTGAGGTTTTTGCAAAATCCAGCTGCAGTAGTCAGCTAAAACGGAAGCCTGTCAGGGCTACCTTAGCAAATACTCCCAGCAACACTACACTAAGCCTCACTACATGTTTCATAAAAAAAGTGCTGCAGTACTGCTCCCTTTGCTGAGGTGACAAGTTTTGAGTAAAAAAGAGCTCAGACCGGGTGCTGCTGACCGCATGGCTAACTGTGTGCGAGCTGCAGGAATGCTGCATGCTGCTGTATGAGTGAACCCATGCAGCAGCAGATGCAGCAGCAGGAGAACAGAGGCTGCTGCTACTCACACTAATAATTTGTTGCTGGCTGTCAGCGTGCTCTCCTTTCATGCTCCTGTAATGCAAACCCAGAGGCAACAGAACGGCTACCCATCACCTTCACACAGCCCCGTGTGGGCATAGCAAGCTTCTGTCAGCGATCCATATGTTCCCTGCCTTCTGGACGCTGGCGTACGAACCCCGGTGAACGCACCAGTGCCCATTATGCGGATAAGACTCTAAAAAAAGACAAAGCATTTCTTTAGGATTTGCAGGCAAATGGGCACTGATGAGAATACACATTTGAAGAGAACCACAGGGACCCAGTGCAGCGTTGCTGAGAAAGTGCTGAATGTGAGCTTTACGTTCACGCTGTTTTGGTGTTTTTCAGCTCCTGCCACAGTGTCAGGAATTCTGATGTTCGGAGACCAAATGAGCCACTGCCAAACACCAAACTTGGCCGCATTGTCTCACTGGCAAGAGGAGTACCTGCTTGAATGATGAGTGGCTATTTTGAAGCAAAGTATTTGAATACGCAGGTTGAATGAAATGGAATCGCTCTGCATGCCTTCCCGAATATGTTTGCTTTCCCCAGCAGGACTGGGTTAGTGCTGCAAAAACACATTTCACCCTGGACTTGCTGTAAGAATTGTGTGCAGGGACATCAACTGTTCTCCTGATAACTGTTGCAATTACACAGGGAGGGGGGGAGGTGTTCCTCATAGTGCGACTATATATTGTTTTCACATATTTTTGATTTTTTGGTGAGCACTTCCCCGGTACTGCTTATCAAGCAGCTTCTGGTAAGCTCTGCATCTTTTGTCCTGTGCACTTTTCCTGAAAAACACCAGGCATCCTGTTTTCTTCTGCCTCACTTAGTTATTGATTAAAGTAAACAGCAGCTAGTATTTCAGAGTGTTGCGTCAGCCCGTCAGTCTCGTCAGCCCGTCGGGCTCTTGTGCGACACTTTGCAGACTCAACACCTTTGTCTCGTTCCTGTTTTGACCAAATATGAGTAAAATTCTTCTTCTCGTTTTGGGTTTTAAGAGAAAGATATGATACTGAGCTGAGATTAAAGATGTGTTTGCCTCTGAGTGAGCAGAAGGATATGACTATCTGACTGTATTTACAGTACAGAAGTCCAAGTTCTGCAGGCCTGACATGGTGAAACTATTTAAATCAAGCTCAAACAAATGCAACATTTATAAAAAAGTGCAGGAATTTCTCAGAACTGCAATCTGGAAAATGGAACTGAATGCAATAATTAAGCTGTACTGTAATTACAGCATTTATGCTTGCATGCAACAGCCTGTGTAATAACTTCTAAACAGAGTATCACTCGATACACATCATAAACTTGAGAATGATAATAGTTTGTATACAGAAAAATAATATACATGCATTCATGTACAGCTTGTCGAGGCTTACTCCCCAGCCATTACTGACCACTGTATGTTTTTGTCTCCTGTGTTAAACACATTGAGTTTACATGTGAGGAAATGTGCTGCATAAATAAAATTGACGTTTCTATTGACACTCAAAGCCACACACATGACGTAACCACAGAGATAAAAGTTCACATTGTGTTGTTTTTACCTTTTCAGAAGTGAATTACGAGTACAAAACAGGTTTACAAACACATCTCCAACAAATGCTGGGGCGCTGTGTGAGATGTAAATAGTAGGAGAATGGAAACTCAATAATTTAGTAAAAGTAGTACAAAGATAAGAGGAAATGTTCAAACTGAGACTGTTTATTCTGGAAAATAAAAAGAGTTGTGAGTTCTGTCATTTTATTTTTCTTAGTGGTTTTTGTTTTGTTCACCGTGGCATCATTTCAGTATCA